TGTGTGTTTTTTTTTTTTGTTTTTTTTTTTTTTTTGTGTTTTTTTTTCGTTTTGGACGTTCTCTCTCTCTCCCTCCCCCCCTCTCTCTCTCTCTCTCTCTCTCTGTGGGTGTGTGTGAGTGTGTGTGTACGAGCTGGTCCGGGGGGCCGGGATGCCCAGAGATTTTGTTCAGCAGCGTGTGTGGAAAGGGTGAGGGTGGGGGCTAACATGATTTTTTTTTTTTTAAAGCGTATCTTCCATTACGGACGGCTCCCTTTAAGACTTCCAACAGATTGAAACCTCATGAGTGCCGGTGTCTGGCGTGAAAATATGCCAAACAAACTTTACCCACGATGCTTGCATGTCAAAGGGGTCGATAAGTCTGGCACATTATTACATTCCATTGCAGTCACGAGGATTCAGTCCCACTTTCCAATTGTTATCTGGCAATCTCCCCCCTCCCCCATTATTATTATTATTATTATTATTATACACACACATATATACAGTGGAACCTCTCATAACGAGCACCTCTCATAGCGAGTAATTCGCATAACGAGCAAAAAAATGTGAAGAAGTTGCTCCCTTGACGAGCGACATTTCGCTTACGCAGAAAGGGGAAGTCCCTTTTGCCCTCACTTCTGCTTGGAAAAAGCTGGCCAGAGAGAGTGTTGTTGAATGTGATTTTGAAACAGTGCCTGTGGAGTCTACAGTTAACGAGATTGTGTCATCGGTCAATATCATGGGACTCGAGGTGGACAACAACGATATTGAAGAGTTTGTGAAAGGGCACAGTCAAGAGTTGACGACGAAAAGATTATGGAGTCGCATCGTGTTTCACAGGAAGAAATTATGGAGGAGATCTCATTAATGGCGGAGGAAGTAGCAGAGGAACAATCTTCTAAGCGCAGGGGTCGGCAACCCTTTGAGACGGACGAGCCAAAAGTTACAATTTACAAAATTTCCCAGTTTTTAAAGAGCCACTAACATTTAGAGGACAGGCTCCCGATGAGGACAGGGCCCCGATGAGGACAGGAACCCGATGAGGACAGGGCCCCGATGAGGACAGGGCCCCGATGAGGACAGGGCCCCGATGAGGACAGGGCCCCAATGAGGACAGGGCCCCGAGTGATTGACTCAGTTGTCTCGGCCTCTACACGCGACTGCTGTCATGTAAGAGATCCCCACTGAATCCTCGAACATTTTTGTACACTCAGATCAATGCCTACAGGGATGCGTGATCATCACACACACACGGGGGGGGGGGGGGCGGGGGGGGGGACAGAATTTATGAAAATAAAAACAACGTTTTTCAGAACTCTTCCAATAATTTTCGAGAGGGCGACAATAGCAT